TCTTCAGCTTCAGGCACATCTCCTGCGGCGGGACACGCAGGGGTGTCAGGGCTCTGCCCACCCAACCGCACGGCCGTGCCCACCTTGGTGCCCGTCCCCGTACTCACCTGGGAGCTGCTGTAGCTGAGGCTGCCCCACAGCACGACGCCGGCAGCACCCTGGGCCGCGCTCTCGCCGATGGTGTTCACCAGGTCCTCCTGCCGCCGCGGGAGAGGAGAGGAGAGGTCAGTCCCCGCAYGGGCCCTCCCGGTGCCAGCACCGCCACGGTGGCATTGCCACCGTCCCCATCCACAGGTCACAGCGGCTGTGACCATTGGCCACAGCTCAGAAGCTGTGCCCAGCCTCTGCCATGGCCCAAAGGGTGAATTCGTGCCAGAGCCAGGCAACRATTGACTTTTCAGTAGTGGCCAGCAATAGGACTAGAGGAAACGGCCACAAACTGAAGCACCAAAAGCTCCACAGGAACTTAAGAAAACATTYCTTGACWGTGAGGATGACAGAGCCCTGGAACAGGCTGCCCAGAGAGGTTGTGGAGTCTCTTCCTTTGGAGATCTTTAAAACTCGCTTGGATGCCACCTGCTCTAGGTGACCCTGCGTSTGCAGCGGGGTTGGACTAGATGATCTCTGAGGTCCCTTCCAACCTTAGCATTCTATGATTCTTTGATTCTATGAATCTATCAATCTATGATTCTTTGATTCTATGATTCTATGACTCAAGGGCAGCTTTGAGGACCATCTCCCACCAGCACGGAGACTATTTCCTAGCGCTGATCAAAGAGCTGCCGAGCCTCCCTTGCCTCCCTCTTGTCCCAGCGAGCCTCTCACCTCAGAAAGGAAGACATCRGTGTTCTCAAAGGTGATCTGGGCATAGGGCAGGACGGGGATGCTGCCGTTGACGACCAGGTCCTGCACGGAGAAGGCCTCGGCCACGCGGTGGCGGACGTAGTTGAGCACCTTGTTGGTGCCRCTGAGCTGCTGGGGCAGGTAGATGCTGGGGTAGAGCGCGCGGCTGTTGCGCCACAGCCAGAAGAGCTCCTTGTTCCTCGCCTGCTCGATCAGGGGGCACTTGCCCGTGTAGTCCTTGCTGTCGAAGTCGTTGTTGTAGCAGTCGGGGAAGCCGTAGAAGCCCCAGTAGCCGCTGGGCCGGAGCTGTTCGCCCAGCTTCAGCGTCTGCTCCATGAAGGCACGGGCGCTCTTCTCGAACTCCAGCTTGGCCACCTCCTTGACCAGGCTGGAGGGCCAGAGCGGGTGCGCCTTGCGGACCAGGTCTTCCGACTTCTCCCGGTAGATGTTCATGGCGTCCCAGTCGCGGGCCCACAGCGGGCGCCACGCTTCCCAGTCAATGACGGCCAGGCCGTTGTAGGAGGCGCTGGGCAGGGCGGTCTCGATGTCGCTGGAGGCTTGGTGGAGGTGGGCCTGGAGGCTGGCGTTCTGGGGCAGCCCGCCGTCCACGGGCGTCCCYGCGGACGTGTAGTAGGGGTAGAGACCCAGGTTCTGGCTGTAGAAGATGGTGACGTCGTCGCCGGCGAAGTCCTGCTCGGCGTTGGCCACGATGTCGAAGACGCTGAGGTCGAGCGTGACGTTGTACTTCTCGGCGCACGCCTTGGTGGGCGCGTTCCAGATGGTGACGAAGGGCCGGTTGAGGAGCACGGGGCCGGCGCCGCCCGCCCACGCCACGGCGGGCAGGAGCAGCAGCAAGGCCCAGGTGCAGCGCGCGGCGGCCATGGCGCCCACAGGAGCTCGCGGTCCCGGCTTGGCCTACACACGAGTGAGCCTCAGGAGAGACCCGTGGCCTCCTCACGGCRCCGGGCGCTTTTATAGCCCCGCGAGCCGGTGCTTGTCGCCCCCGACCACCTCACGTGGCGTCCCCAAGGTTATCAGCAAGCCGAGCGTGGCGGCTGGTGCCTCCAAGCCCAGGTTGATGTCCCGGAGAGGACGGCACAAAGTCAACACGCTGCATGGGGGTGGGGACAGCGGAGCTGCTCCGTGCCGGGCTGGAAAGACAAACAGACACCAGCAGCAGAGTGGAGGGCAAGGTCATGGTGACGGAGACATGTTGCCCAAGGGAGGCAGCGCTCGGAAGGGTGGGAGCATCGGGCTCCAGCGTGCGGGAGCGGGACCGGGCCTGGGGGACCCTCGCAGCATGAGGCACTACTTGGCAGGAGCAGAACCACGTCTGGGGCTTGTTCACAGCACCAAGTGTTAGTTGGCCGGAGCAGGACAAGCCTGGAGGATG